TCGAGGTCCTCATAAAAAAAAAAACCTAAGTAGGTAGCCCTTTTCATTATGATTCTCTTTTTTACTCAACTAGACCGATTCTGATCAGTGACTTTTTGTACTTTTCTTTGCTGCCTTCAAAACACCAAATTTTTAGGATTACTCTGTTTGTGTCGATATTTTTGTAGTATTTAATGTCTGTTGTAGTGCGTTCTTTATTTATTTTTAAGGTTCTGTGCATTGCTTATTTTTGTGATATTAATGTTAATTGTTCCTAACGTTGAAATGGCCAAAAAATTTACAATCTCACACTACCACATAGTAATATTCGATAATACTTTTGTTGTAATAACTTGTTTCATGTACCTTACTTTTAATGTTTCGCTTAACTTACCAAGCTTTCTTTATTTATAGATCAACCCATGCACTTTTTTTTTTTAAGGATTTAGAATTAAGTTATAGCTTTGTCAATAAGTTTATTGTAACTTGGACAATAAAGCAGCTTTGTAGAGTTTTAAAACCTTGTCTCTGAATAGATTTTTGAATGAGATAGTTTAGTGAATTGGCTTTTTTTGTCATTTCATTGATGTGTTGTTCCCATTTTAAGCCTGATGGGATTGTTATTCCTAGGTCTTTGTGGCACAAAACTTTTTCTTGTTGGAGGAGGTTATCATGTTCAGGGTTATTCCGGCCGATATCTAGAACTGTGCACTTGAGGTCAATCAATGGTATTTTCCAAATAATTGTCAACTTTTTGATTGTGTAGTGGATTGCAGGATAGGCATGTGTCATCTGCAAACGATTCATATTTGGTTTTCAGTTTCTGGTATAAATTACACAAATACGCCCAAGACTGAGCCTTGTGGTACGCCGCTGCATACCATAGTATTCAACTGATTGTGATATTCTCGAGGATATTGCTGACTTAATCTGAAAGGTAGGTCCAGTAAGGAATTCCTCAAGAAGTCGCAGTAAATCGCCTCTGACTCTAAAATGATATAGCTTGTTATATTATTGGTATCTTATTAAATGCTTTTTCAAAGTCAAGAAAAATTCCATCAATTGGATCAAATCAAATCGAATCAATCCGAATCGAATCAAATCAAAAAAAGCTTTATTGTCATAAATTCAAAAAGATCCATTGACAAAGTGACTTATCCTAAACTAAACTACTATTCAGAGAACACACTCCGCATTCACCCTTAACAATTTATAGATATATATTTTTTTTTTAAACAATAGGAATAAAAAGCAAATCTTCACACATCACAATTATGCTAGAAACACGTTAAAATATCAATCCGAGTGATACTAATTAAACATGAGAATGCCACAGACAGATACAACTAAACTAACAAAATAATAAAATATCACAAGAATATGAACCAATATAAATATAAAACAAATCATAAAATTAACAAATATAATCACAAAACTAACAAAATATAGGACTAATTAGGATGAATCGTAAAATTCCCGGAGACTATAAAATGCCTTTCGAATCAAATATATTTTAAGTTGTTCTTAAAATATTTTAAGCTCATGAATACTCTTTATATTATTTCATGAGGTAATATATTGAAAATTTTTATAATCTCTCGTATATAACAGAATTTATTGTTAGTGAAGACTTTGGTATGGGCAGAGGCAAATTAATCTGACTAAAATTATAATGTGTTTCTCTAGAATTATCCTTAAATTTCTTAAAAATTAAGGAAGACGTTTTCGAAATAAAAATGCCTAGAACAGTTAGAACAGCCTTAATATACAGGAGGAAGAGCACTGGACCAAGTACAGAACCCTAGGGAACTCCGTGAGTTAACTTCTGCAACCCCAAGTCTTCAGAATTGACAATCCTTGCAAGCTGACTGCGTTCCGCAAGGTACGACCTAAACCATCTGAACCCTCCATCCCTTATCCCATAGTGACTCAGCTTCCGCATCAGTATTTCGTGATCTACACAATCGAAAGCCTTAGAGAAATCACAAAACACCGCCGCAGCCTTCCCTTCATCATTGAGACCCAGAAAAAGTTTCTCCATCATCCGCCTTTGTCCACATATTGAGCCTGGAAAGCACGTTTTGAAATTTTTTTGGGGAGAAAACCATGTTATTGGGGATGTACTCTTTTTGAATATAACAACTGCTTTTTTTCAAGGTTGCGAAAAATCTCCTGTGGATATTATGTCATTCATAAGTGCTGCCAAAGGCCCCTTGTGTGCAAACAATTTTCAAGAAATATAGGAGGGATCTCATCAAGTCCAGGACTGGAGTTCATCTTTTAGGGACTTAATGGCCATTTCTACTTTATCTGGGGTAAAATGTATGGTATTGATTTCTGTTCTGGAGTAGGATTCAACTGGAAGTGTTGGTCTAATATCTGTAGGGCTGAGTTTAGTAAAAACTCTGTGGAATTGATGTGCAAAACACTCTGCAACCTCTTGGGGTCAGATTCAAATGGGACTAGAGTTGCTTTGTCAATAAACCTGAAGTTCAGTTAAAAAGTCTATGGTTAAAGTAAGAAAAAGAACTGTTTGGCGTGGTTCGACAGATTTTTTTCATATTGTTTTCTTGCTGTCACTGTACAACTTTTGACATTATTTGTATGTTTTGATACTGTGTGATTCGTGTCCTCAAAGATTGTGATTGAATTTTGATTCTTCAGTTTATAGGACGGGATAAAAGTCTCTTTTCCTTTGTTTTTCCCTAAATACTGCCTTAGTTAACTATGATTTTTGTGGTATGTATGGCATATGCTTGGTAATTTTAAATCCCAAAGCCTCTGAGAATTCCTCAAATGAATGTGGGTTGGTAGAAGTATTCTATGACGCACATTCATGAAAGCTGTAATTTTTTAACAAAAAACACTTAATTTGTGGTGGTGGCCAACTTTACTTAAACTGAGGTATGTGCTAGATAGGTACTCCTGAAGTATGCATAGTATATTCTTCAATGTAAAACCCATCTAATAAATCTATACTTATAGAAAAGTAAGAAGTATCCGGTTTAGTTCACTAGGGATATATAATCTCACTTATAAAGAAAAAGCATAGATACTTTGTGAAACTAACCAACTTTAAATCGCAATTTTAGAAAATTAAGTTCAGTAATACAAGAAGTTTATACTTAAAACTAAAATAAAAGAAGCATAATATACTACATATTTGAAGCATATTGCAATGTTTCTTGATTCTAATCCCAAAAACTTCTGACCTAAATATTTTAAAAGATAGTCCGGATATCCTGGATGGGATAAACAAAAAAGATAAGCAAAATTTTATTAGTTGAAACTAGTTTTCCGACTGTTTTCAACCAATGAAATTTGCTCTGACTGGTTTGTGATTTCTGCAGAAACAGACTTAATATCGACCATGGTGCACTATTGTCGACAAGCAAAACTACCTAGGAAATCTGACCCTGTATATGATTGACCGACTTATTGATTTGCGAATCAGCGATTAACGAATATAAATAGTGGTCGGCAACACACGGGTAGGCAGACTTGAACCTCTTTTGGGAAAGCCCTTCTGGACAGCCCTTTACTTTAGCGAATCGTACCTAACGTAGCTTTGTCTTTTAGGTAGCTCTCCTGTATCCCCATAGAAGAGGCACTATGTACCATAGCGCCATCCTTTGGTAATTACCAATTATTATTATTAGCTTTACTCTAAACAATATACTTTGAATTAAAAACCACGCGAGTCACTATCGTCCTGACCCTACGCTACGCACCCCTTCACGAGAGGATAAGTTGTGACAATATTCAGAATTCAAGATTATGTTAACAAAAAATTTGAAATATCTATCTATAATGCGTTTTGCCTCTTGCATTTCAGGTAACTTATTCTAGTGTGGGATACGTGAGCAAATTTTACAAAATAAAATATTAAAGATCTCTTTTGGACATGACATATTGACTCATACAGAACAACTGTACAAGGAGCTGGGTATACCTACTTGATCTGCTGCTGAAGCTGATGTAGTTCGAATTCAATAGGGCAAATTTATGTACAGAATCTTGAATAAACAAAAATCTAATGTGAATGTTTTATTCAATAGCAATGTTTATGAACACAATACTAGATCATGTGATAAAATATATTTGTCTTCTTCTTTGTCAACCTCAATCCATCCACTCCTGGATGTAGATATCTTCTAATTGTTTCCATTTTTCTCTATCCCGCGTCAATCTGATCCACTGTCGTTATGTCGTCCACCCATCTTTTTTGAGGTCTTCCCGAGCTTCTTGTTGTCTCCATTCCAGGATTTTCTTCATGTCTACGTGGCCAGACCATCGCCATTTCATCTTTGTTACCTCCTCCACAATGTCGATGACTTTCGTTTTGCACAAAATATATTTAGACAATGTTAACACAAAACACAAACAAAGGTCTATGGAACCCCATTACTCAGGCATGCTATGTAGGTATATAATAGCTCACCTATAAGTATCGAAAATATCGGAAAGGAAAGTAGGTTTATTAAGGAACTCTGAAATTACATTACAGTCACTAGCTGGATAAGGTTTATATTTTGTATGCTTACCTTCTGCTTTGTTTTTTCCTCTATGTTTTTATCACTGATGCAATAATTAAGTATACTTACTTAACCCGTTGCCTAAATATGCAGGAAACCTTGAGAACAGTGCGTTCAGCACTGAGGAAAGAAAGGTGTAATTTATAATGAAACTGTAAACTCGTGTAAACTTATCTTGTTTGATAAAGAATTTGACCTACCCTAGAACCAATCTATATAAGTATTCTTGGATCTATAATTTGTATGATCTGTTCAACCTTTACGCCTCAGATGTAGATATAGATACTATTAGCTTGAAAGCATTTAAAATGATAATTGACAGAAAATTGTACTCAACATCCTAAAATTGTATTCCTTTGGATGTTGTGATTGGTTTACTTTGCTAAGATTGTTTGTAGGGTTTTGATGTATGTTACCCATAATTCTGTAATATTATTATTTAGTCAGTATCTGTTGATACTGAATTAATAGATAAATTAATTCTAGGGCTACACCAGGTTGCTTTTAACCAAAATCCCTTTCTACAAGGAAGTGGTATTGATGTCGTTCCATTGCGAGGCATGCGGCTATCAAAATAACGAAATTCAGTCTGGCAGCATTATACCAGAGAAAGGAATCAAAATCACGCTCACGGTTAAAGATAAGAGGGACTTAAATAGGCAACTCGTTAAAAGTGATCATACATGCGTTAAAATACCAGAGTTGAATTTTGAAATTCCTTCGCAAAGTCAAAAAGGGGGTACAGTAATTAAAAAAAAAAACACAGAAGATAATATTAATATTATTTATCTTGCAGAAGTAACAACAGTAGAAGGCATTTTGGATCGAGTTGTTGCTGGCTTAGAACAAGATCAGGCTGCTAGAAGAGAACAACACCCTGATGTAGCCGAGCAAATAGATACATTTATTGTTTCCATAAAAAATCTCAAAGATTTAGAAAAACCATTCACTTTGGTAAGTAAATGATTAAACGCCTTCAAATAAATTAATATTTGTTTGTAGATTCTTGAGGATATATCTGGCAACAGTTTCATTGAAAACCTAAATGCTCCTAAAACCGATCCTCAATGTACAAATGAATATTTTAAAAGAACCTTGGAACAAGATCACCAACTGGGAATATTCACTCATGCAGAAGTTAGTGATGAAAAAGAGGAAACTGGTATTTTACATCCCATAAAAGAAGGAGAGCATACACTTGAAGACATGCAAGGAGAAGTATTGCAATTCCATACAAATTGCCCCAATTGTGGATCTCCATGTGAAACAAACATGAAAATGACCAGTATCCTTTTGTTTCGAAGGGTAGGTACTTGTGATTGGTACTATTGAGTTGTTTGAAAATATTTAACAAACTAACTTTCATTTACTATTTGTAGTGTAGTCATTTCACAAGTACCAAACCCATTAATTTGATATAAATATACTTCAACAGTTTGTTTGTGTATCATCATATTTTTCTTATCCAAAAACTAGATATTCCTCATTTTAAGGAAGTTGTCATCATGGCTACAAATTGTGAAATTTGTGGACATAAGACAAATGAAGTAAAATCAGGGTCTGGCATTGAACCTAAAGGAATTCGTATTGAAGTTGAAGTTAAAAATAGGGAGGATCTTTCGAGAGATGTTTTGAAGGTACAAATTAATTCGGTATATTGGAAATAAATTTCATATTTATGTATTATTTTTTTAGTCTGAAACTTGTGATTTAGAAATTCCTCAATTAGACCTATCAGTGGGGCCTAACGCTTTAGGTGGACGATTTACAACTGTAGAGGGTTTAATTGTAGCCATTAAGGATCAATTGAGTGATCCTGCAACATCCCATATATTTGGTGATTCCAAGGAAAAATCTGCAACAGAAGACTTCAAAAAATTTTTAGGTCAGCTTGACGATGTTCTTGAAAATAAGCTACTTGTAACTTTGGTTTTGGATGATCCTTGTGGAAATAGTTATATTCAGGTGAATATTTATTAATTTTATTGCTTATTTTAATTTTGTAATAATTATTATAGAGCATGAAAGATGGTGATGAAGTTGATGAGCAGTTGAAGATTACACATTATGAGAGAACATTTGAACAAAATGAAGAATTGGGCCTTAACGATATGAAAACTGAAAACTATGAAGAGTCAAAATGATTTAGATTCTAATTTTATAACCAAAACTAATAGGGAATTGACTATGTTATTTCAAATTAGAGATATTTTATTTCATTTTGCTTTTATTATACAAAAATCAGTAAACATAATGTGGTAGTTGTTAAAGATTTAATATACTGGCTCAGGAGTCTGAGTTTTAAGAATTCCGTAACGTGTTTTTATGATGATCCTTTGTCTGGAATATTGGTCTTCAGGAGAAAATCGAGCTAAAAAAAAGGAAAGCCTAGAAGCATCATTCAAGGAGATGAAAACTGAAATATCTTACCTGGATGTGCTGATTGTGTTGCATTGCCACTTGGATCAGTTTTCTATAAATAATAATGATATTAACAATCAAATTGGGACTAAAAGAACACTATTTTATTAGAAAAGTAAAAATCCTCAGTTACAACTTAACCAAATATAAATATATTGTATACAAAAAATAAGAATTTATTATTATCTATCAATCCAGAAACAGAATTAAATTAAATTCTCCTTGTTCATAAAAAATACAATATACAATACGAAAATACCACTTATAATTCTAAACACACTTAATTCTAAACTTTTTCATAATAAAAAGAAATAATATTCTAAAAAACATTACAAAAGTAAAAAAGTACAAAAAAGAAAACAAACATTCAGACATAAAGCGGAATTAAAATGAATTCACAGCCAATAAAGACTTCTATCATCTCTTCTTACTTGTAACTTTGTAATGTGACGAAAAACCTCTAGTGCTGGGCCAAGTTCTAATTTTAAGTTGTTCAATACATCACTTCTTCTGAGGCCAAGTAAGGAACGCCCATCAATTCCCTCTTCCCTAAAAATTTTGGCTTCATCTTCTGAAATAATTTTTGCAAAATATTCATAAACTTCATCTGGTGTCCAGTGGCTGGCATCAGGTACAGAAGAGTCTAGATTTTCTGAATCTATTCCGCAATATTTTTCCCTTTTTTGAGAATTTGAATCACTTTTTTCTTGGGTACTGGACACTGAAGCTACAGGACTTTCCCGCGAACTGCTGTCAGAGGAGTCTTCTTCAACATCATTTTCCTCATTCTTGGAAGAGTCTAAATATTTTTTCCTTCGTATGCCAGAACTGGAAGCCACAGGACTTTGTGATGGAGTTTCATAATTCGATGAACTTTCAGGTGTTTGGGACTTTGAATCGGAAAATTCATCATCTGAATTTTCCAGTTTTATGGAAGATTTTGAATAATTTTTCTTTGGGATACCAGACTCTGAATTTTTTGGTTGTGAATATTTGCCTCTCCTAGGGAGTTCGTCAGAGTCAGCATCGATAATATTATAACTAATAGCTTCTCCAATATGGAATTGAATTTCATCTGGTTTCATTTCCTCGTTATCTTGGCAATTTGCACACAACCATTTTTGATTGTTGTCAGTTATATTGGGTTGGAGGCAAGTAGCATGGTATCCATCAGTACACACTGAACATACAATTAAATTTCCAGCATTAGACGTTTGGAAACAAACAACACATGTTTTGCAATTTGTGCACTGCCAAGTGTTATCTGGAGACATTTTAAGCATCATGTCGTCACCATTGAGACACTTATGATGAGCTTTGTTGCTACATTCTATACAAGTGACCATTGTACCACTTTTTTCATTAGCATTGTGACACACAGAACATACTCCAGCTTCATCTCTGGAAAATTCTGCAGAATAATAGGAACTAGGTCTCCAGTCTTCATCATTTTTATGGCTTTTTTTTAAAGATTTAGATGGATGGATTGGTTTATTTAGGATGGTGTTGGGTGAATTAAATTTTTGATTTTGCCTTTTCTTAGGTTGGCTGTCCGTCTTTGGAGCATAAGTGTCTGATGGATCGTAGACTTTTTTTGCTATCTTGAGACGTCTGCCCAATTTTTGGATTCCTCCTTTCATATCAGAATCCATATTTTCTGCAATGTCTAATGTAGCTTGCTCTTGTACTGGAACTTTACGTGGTCTGCCTCTGCCTTTACTTGGTAATTTTAAATTAGATTGTGTACTTGTTTTTGGTTGTTTTGGCTTTTGTTCCGATGTACTATCTGGTTGGCTTTCTTTTCTTGTGCTTGACATTATTACTGCAGTCTTCTTATTTTTAATTTCTTTATGTTTATTTTCAGAACATGGACCCAGCATGAAGTTTCCATTTTCAAGCTTAATTAAATCTCTTCTTCTGACTTGGACTTCCAATAGCATGGTTATTTTACGTTTACTATATCGTACACTATCTTTTGCTAATATAAATTGGATTATTTCTGTAGCTGGTACCCCAACTTCTAAATAATGTGGTTCTTCCATTGCGAGCTCAGCAAATATATTTGTCAATAATTCCATGAAATTCTTGCTGACTTTAGATTTGCGTTGCATACCAATTCGACTTTTGTGATGATTTTTTTTTCTTGCATTTCTGTAACTTACAGCTCCCTTGTATTCAACACACAGGACTGATTTGTTGGAGACACACCATTCTAGATCAGATCTAGTTTCACTAGGAGGCACATTGTGATGACGAACTAAATAATTGATTATCCTTTTTGTATCTGGTCGATTTTTGCGTTCCCGTAACGTGTCAATTGCTTCAAGAATTCTCTTCCTTTTTATGAAGCTCTGCTCATCCATTTTGCATCAAAGTGCCTTTAAAGTTAAGTTGAAACACTATAAGTCGTTTGCACTAATGTCTGTTGGTTTGTAGGAAAACGTTGAGAGATGAGCAGTTTGTTTCAAGCACTTGTCTCCAACACACAGCACCTCCATATAATTAGGGCTCCTACAATGGAAAAACCCACATATTTTTGTGTGAAAATGATACTAGCTATGTAATATTTAAAAACATAATTTTTTCGAGTATTAAATTAAAGTCTTTAATGTTCATAGTTTGCCTATACCTAGTTTAGTGATGAATAATGCTAGAAATGTAGGAAACACCACAATGTCTTTCTAGTATGGACAAGATTTTAACAATCAAATCTGATTGATTGGGCAAATATTGATAATAAATGATTCCAATAAAATTTGTTTTTAAATGATACAAACTAATAAATTCTATAATAGATGATATTAACTAATCTAATTCAAGGCATTAATATAAATAATAGAAAAGCTAATTCCAAAGTGTGTACAAATACATTTCAGGAAACATCCCACAAAGAGGAAATCTTTGTGGGAAGAAATTATAAAAAATGTTTCATTTACCTTTAGGGTATATACCCGTTTTCCTTGGTCATCGATATAGTACATCAAATACATTTTTATTTTACAAGACAACTACTTAGATTATATGAAAATTAAAATGGAGGAGTCAGATAAATAATCGAAGAAAAGCATGGGCTTGGATGGACATGTATGACATGACACTGACATGCGAAGTTGAAACGTGAAGGGTGAAGGGAAAATGAGAATTTGAGGTTAGAAGTTATAGCGCTTTCGACTTTTGCCTCAAACCTACACCCGATTGATCATAAAGCGATCCGAAACGGATTCACATGTTCTGCTTGAAACGGAGCGTTGCTGTCGGCGAGATTTTCGTGTTCAACAGAACGCTCAAATCTCGCACGAACCGCATTTTCTTGCTCTGTTATAACATTTTCGGCTATCATCACTACTGCTCCCAGCAGAGCGCTCCCCATAGAGGCGCTCTCCGTCTTGGCGGTGACGTCACATACCAATAGCCGAACGTACTGTATGTTTTGATCAAACTCTTTGATCCATCGAATTTGACGGAGCAAGAAAGAGCGCTCCATGCAAGATTTGAGAGCGTTCTATTGCCCAAGTCGAACCAGGGCCGGTATTCTCGTCCTCAAAAACGCTCACCGCTTTTTAGTCGCTCAGCACTTCTAATGTAAATTTACATGAGAAGTGCCGAGCGACTAAAAAGCGGTGAGCGTTTTCGATAAGGAGAATACTGGCCCAGAGATAGTCGAACATGTGAATTTTGCCCAGAGCCGCTCCGTTTTAAGCCGAACATGTGAATCCGGTTCGAATCATTTTTTAATCAATCGAGTGCAGTTTTGAGGCAAAAGCCGAAAGCGCCAATAAACTCGATGTAAACAATGAAGTGCGTTCGACTTTTGATTTCAATAAATAGTGTGCCCTACTTTGGATTTTAATTGCTCTCGGAGCACTCCAGCCTCACTGTACTCCAGCCGAGATCGTTTTCCCCTGCCCCTTCATGCAGGACCACCACTACCAAGGACCTCCCACTACCATCATATTATGTGCGGTGTGTTCAAAACACACAGTAGGCGGCCGATTGAAAGGGGCGGCGGATTGAAAAGGGTTCCGCCACCGATCATGATGTAAAAAAAATCCTGTGCAGCGCCCTACACGTGTTGGAAGTGAAAATTTTTAAAAACTATCCCCCCTCATACAACTTTAGACAGCGTCTGAATCGGGGTGACGGAAAAAAACACAAAAAAAAGTCACGCATCTTGAGTGACGTCACAAGGGTATCGGCGCTTGACAATAATAGGCAATCCTCCTTGTTTATAATCCTTGGTTTGTGTCAATCGTTCGTCGGTTGTCATTGAGTCTGTTTCTGCTGCAGAAATCACAAACCAGTCAGAGTGAATTTCATTGGTTGAAACTAGTTTTCTGACTGTTTCTGACTGTTTTCAACCAATGAAATTCGCTCTGACTGGTTTGTGATTTCTGCAGAAACAGACCTATCATTAGCTGTTTTTCTCCGTCTCTCTAAGGCCCGGTTTATTCATCTTTAGATAAACTTGCTGGTAACTATCTGCAAGATAAATTTACTGTTCTATAATTCTATTGGTAGGCGGATATCTGGCCGACCAATGGGATTACAGATTTTGCTATTATCCCTCAGATTGAATACCTGACAGTTTATCTGAAGGTGAATAGACCGGCCCTATAAGTTATATCTTTCTTTCTATCGTATAACGAAATTTCCCAAAACGTGACACGTCTTTCAAATCACTGTCCATTCTCGTACAATTATCAGATCGCCGCCTAAGAAGTTTTCACTTCAAAATAAATCATACGCCATCGAGTTTTATTGAAAATAAACCTCTCAAACAAATAAGCCCATCAAACCCATATCTTTGTTAAATTTCAAGCAATTTAAGATAAATTATACAGGGTGTCCCACGGTGGATGGCGTATTAGACGTTTATGGAGAACTAAAAAGCGGATCATTTTGAAAATTTGGCAACCGGGATAAACGACCATGATCTACACTTTAAAAATATTTTTGACCATGCGGTGTTGCCGTTTCTACTCTAAACTAGTGGCAACATCACTATTTTAAATGGAACACCCCGTATTAAATTGCATATTTGGATTCTACGTAAAATTCTAAGCAGATTTCATGTGATATGCCCTATACCTGAGTTCAACTGTTTTGGAAATATTGACAGTTGAAAATTGACTTTTTGCAACTTTGACAGGCTGTAAAACCTAATTGGTTAATTTTAGAGGAAAACCGATTTCACATTCCTATCTTAGATTTTGATAAACTATCATTTGACACGAACTTTGAACTAAACCAGAGATTAAATTTAACTGAAATTTTTAATCATGGATTTAATTCTAAGTTGGTGTCAAATGATAGTTTATAAAAATCTAACATAGGAATGTAAAATCGGTTTTCCTCTAAAATTAACCGTTCAGGTTCTACAGCCTGTCAAAGTTGCAAAAAGTCAATTTTCAACTGTCAATATTTCCAAAACAGTTGAACTTAGGTATAGGATATATCACATGAAATCTGCTTAGAATTTTACGTAGAATCCAAATGTGCAATTTAATACGGGGTGTTCTATTTAAAATAGTGATGTTGCCACTAGTTTAGAGTAGAAGCGGCAACACCGCATGGTCAAAAATATTTTCAAAGTGTAGATCATGGTCGTTTATCCCGGTTGCCAAATTTTCAAAATGATCCGCTTTTTAATTCTCCATGAACGTCTAATACGCCATCCACCGTGGGACACCCTGTATAATTTGGAAATAACATTAAATTCTCTTTAAATCTGTGCAAAATTGAGTTTAATAAGACAAGTGACGATTTTCAGAATAACAGCGAAAATTCTCTTTTCCATTTGTTTAACTAGAGAGAATTACAGCGATAATTCTCCCATGTTATTATATACATGGTTCACTGTCTCACTGAGAAAAACACGTTAACTAAGCACGTGGGTTGAATTTTTATAGTAGTCATTACTAGAAAAATAGTTATTATGACAATTGTGTTTTTGTTATTGAAGCCATTTCAAATTAGTTGTACCTAGGAAATCATCTTAACTGACATAATCAGTTCTAAGTACTAAAAATTGTTGTTAAAACATAGCTAACTATAATTTTGGTTGTTACAACATGTTGTGATTACTAATTAAGCTGGTTAAATAAAAAAATAACCAAAATACCCAAGCAGCAACCTGACGTCAATTTGACGTATTTTTTTCGTCATTTATGGTCTGGGACGTCAATCTACCAATAAATGACGTGACTCATCACGTGATTTTCACGACGTGTTCTAGACGTCATAAAGAATACGTCGTTTTCACGAGATTTTTCCGACATTTGAAATTTTAAATCTTTTTTTTTTTTCTATTAAAGAACTATAAATAATTCATACCGTTCGCAATGCCGTCCTTATTTATTAATTTTCAATATCGACTTCAACTTATATTACATTATTCAGGCACGTGGCACGTCGTTTTTACGTAATTTTTTTCGACATTTTCACACTCTTCCTTTTTCAGACGTCGTATCTCTAGAACGAATAGAACAATGCAACCATATAATGCAACATGCAACTATCTCTCCGTCTCTGTCTAGTCCAAGTGGCACTGACTGGAACAGGCACGCGCCACGCACGTCGCGTCGCACTCGTCGCGCAGTCGTCGCACACTCACAAGTCAGTACCAGTCTAGATCGCAGCGTGGCCGTGGCCGTAGCGTGAGTGATTTGTGTTGTGTCCTTCCTTTGTCCTTTGCATCTTTGGTTTGGGAATAAAATAGAAAAAGGTAAGTTTCCTATCAGATTTCTTTATTAATTTCATCAATGTTAATAATTATTTTATATTCACAACACAATACGAGGTATATGTATTTCAATATTCGTTATAGTGAAAATTAAGTTGGGTTAAATTTTGGCCTGGGATTTTCACAACAAAATGGCTGCTTTTCATTACGGATTGAAACTTCCAATGATTGAATATTGCGATAAGTTTAAAGTTATTCAGTTGATTATCAATTTTGTCAGGTCAGATTATTTTGATGTGTGTTTTTTAGGGAATAAAAATAGCTGCAGGCAGTGGCGGATTTACGATTTATGGGGCCCTATGCTACATAAGTTTTTTGGCCCCTACCCCCTATTTTTTTTAATACAAAGGACAAAATGAAACAAATATTTTCATTTTTGAATTAATTGATAAATTAAAACAAAATCAAAACGAAGTTCTAAAAGTAGAACAGAAAAAAATCATAACTAGAACATAGTAAACAACCGAAAATCGCAAAAACATTTTTTTTTCTAATTTTAATATCGGCAAATTCCCTTATTTTTAATTTATTATAATTATTACTGGGGGGCTAAGGGTAAGATTTTAATTAACTTAACATATTTTCTGGAATTTGGAGTATATATTCTTGACATGTGGGAATGGCCCCCAGGCTGCCCGGGGCCCTACGCTGCAGCGTAGTTAGCGTATGGGTAAATCCGCCAATGGCTGCAGGTTTTCTTCAGGTCGATTCGCATTTGTATTGACGAAAAAAATTGTTTTGCAGAAGCATGTTTTTTCAAAAGTAGTCAACTTTGGGGCGCCACCCCCACTTTATTGAATTTAAAAATAGGTTTATATTTTTTTTTGAAGTTATGTATTGAAATATAGCTAGGTAATGATAGAATGAGGGTTTGGAAAGTCCATTTGGTATTTCAAAACACTAAAAATAGCTGCTAAAGCCTTAAAAATCCTATAAAACATTTCCAAAACCACAAGCTCTGTCATTGAGAATGAAGGGCTTCACAAGCCAGTCATACAAGAATTGACTTCAAGCCTTTGAATTAGGTAGTTTCACTTTCACACAAGACAATTTCGAGTGAAGACTTTTTTTTCAAAAGCATTAGGTACATAGGTATATTTTTTCAAATTAGCTACCGGTTGGTAGGTAATTATCATTACATGATCAATAATTTTATTGGTTTAGGATTTGTCGAGGGGTTTGTACAATGGCCTATATGGTGGTAGAATGGGTAGACGGAGGAGGTTTGTCAGTAATTAACAAGGCTTGGTTGACGCCAAAAAAAAAGAAGCCTTTTGGCCTCCTTGCAAGGCACTGAATTTATTCAATAAAATAATAAGGGAAAACGATCCAGTCATTGAAGATGATTGGGCCCTACATGGCATTAAGAGGGTAATGTACGAGACTGGTGAGTTGAGATTCACATTTTTCAATTTAAAAATTAAAAAAATTAAGAAATATCTACAGAGTGTCTGAAATAAGTTCGCATTTTGTTGTTAGAAAGAGTACAGTAGGACAATCACTTTTTACATAGGTACATGTGTCCGCAAACGTCTCGTTAAGAGAGTACAGAGTGTTGAAATTTTCGAAAGATTTTGACTTTTTGCCTTTAGATTCAAAATGCCTTGACCGATTTTGTTCAAATTTTCAGAGAGTGTTTGCGATTTTCTCGAGCATCTTTCTAAAAAATCCAGCTTTTTTAGCATTTATTATGAAATTGATTGATTTACCATTTTCCTAGTTTCAATAAAAATAAATTTTCCAAACAATACATTGATTTTTACTTTTTATCTCGTTAATGTCGCATTGCACAAGGAAAACTTGGGATACCTTTTTTGTTTAAACTTAAACAAGAAATCAAGAAATAATTTTAGATTCGCCAAAAAAACCAGGGGCGTACCACTTTTTTTTTAAATAGGAGTTGTCTTGGGAGTTGCTCTAAATCCGGTCTTGGAAAAGTGAAACTTGAAAGGATTTTTTAGAAAGATGCTTGAGAACAGCACAAACAACCTCTAAAAATTTGGACGAAATCGCTAAAGGCATTTTGAATCTAAGGCAAAAAGTCAAAATTTTTTGAAAATTTCGACACTGTGTTTTCTTAACGAGACGTTTGCGGACACATGTTCCTAAGTAAAAAGTGATTGTTTTGCTGCGTTCTATCTACCATAACAAAATGCGCACTTATTTCGCACTTTTTTTTCTTTAAAATCATAGCATGCCATAAGCAATAGAGTACAGCCGACTACAGCCTATCCCTTTTTTTATAAATTAATTGGAAAGAAATTTGGGCAGCTTAACTGAGGCCTTGACTGAGGCAATTTTTCAGTTTCTTGAAATCAATTGCGAAACAAAGTCTTTTCAGGTTTACCTCAAAAATGGTTATACCTTTAGATTTTCAAATCGAACACCCGGTATTTTTTGACTATTTGGGAATCAGCGAATCATTTTACATATTTGAACAGTAATTTTGAGCTTTTAGAAAAAAAAATTCAGCGTTTGTGTGAATTGATTTTGTTGGATTACTTATCTAATCAGAAAAATTTGAAATTTCCATTTTTTTTAAATGTATCCAGGTCAGTTCTTATTAACTTTTCTCCTAATTTTTTGATATCCCAATTGGCTATTTTGATCTTTTTCAAAAATACAGGGTAGATCAAAAATAAGCCCCTGTTCCTCGTTGGAACATCGTGTACAAATAAGTTTCAACAATAATTGTCCTGTCATAAGTAAAATAATCCACTATCCACTGATTCCAAAAAAATACCAAAAGTGACTTGTAACCTCGCTTGTAACAAAATTTTGTTTCAAAAAACTGAAAAAGTTGTCCAAATTTCCAACTTAAATTTATTAAAAAAAGTTAGAGGCTGTGCCTATTTCTTGTGTCAACCTCTGTATAACAAAACTATTGGATATTCTAGACGATTATGAAAAAGCTCAACGAAAATGTTGAGAGGCAGAGGATACCTCGAACTTGGAAACTGAAGAAGAGGAATCCACAAAGGCAAGGAGGCGGAAGAGGGCCAAAAAAATAGATACAAGCATCAGCGACGAGTCCGATGATGCTTCTTTTCAGCAAAAAAAGAAAAAGTTGTTTATAGAAAGGCCTCCAAAAATAATCCTTCAAGGTACCTACCCATTTAAGTAATTCCATTGAAATATGAATTAAAAAAAACACATTATTTAAACTATTCGCAAAATGCGACCCTTCGATTAAATCGGAAATGTTTTCATTTCCAACAAATAATTTATCAGGTCAACTTGTATTTTCCATTATAGTTTGCCTTGTACCTAAGTACTTCAAAATTGAGGACATACATTTTTTTTTCAGAGAATCGTTTGATGGATAAATTATCAGGACCATCTAACTCCGATGAACATCAACCCTTGAAGGTTATTCCAGGTAGTTCCCGCTGCAATAATAGTAGATTATTGCCTCTCAATTCTCCCAGAAATAACGTTTCTGAGAGGATATTGACTTCAACTTTAACTGGTAGGCTGCAGCTTATTTATTATTCTTTCATTTACATATACTACTTATTTTAATTGAGATTTTTCAAATGTACCTAATTTTTTTTTTCTATGACTATTTAATAATATGTGTATCATTCATCCACTTTCTATTGATTAATGTAAGTGGTTACACATACAGTGAGTTTAAATAATCCATTAACTGTCACAGCTTAACGGTTAAAAAACGGTTAGTCGCTAAAAAGTCCAACAAGAAATATAATAATAATTATCATATTTTTATGATATTATGCTAAGTTGATTTTTTTTTGAAAAATTCTGATTTTTATCCTAGATTATTATTTGATTATATTATTATTATTATTATTATTATTATTATAATTATTATTATTATTACGCTCGACGAGTGTTATAGGATTTCCCTTTTGTGTGTGTGCCTACCATAAAAAAAAATATATATTACTATTAATATCACGCTGTAGATTTATTCTATTGTTTTAGAAGGTACCTGCTCTGATAGCAATCCTGAAAGGATTCCAAGAAGCTCTGTTGGAGAGAGTACCCCGCAAGGAATTTCAACCCCTGGGCGTCGTCAACCTCTTCCAGGTGTGTAATACATTTTTAAATTAAAGAATTTTTTCCCGAAAATCACTTATATTTCAGAATTAAATGAAAAAATCCTCCAGGTTCTCTATGGAGTTCAAGAACAGAACTCGCAAATATTGAATGTTCTTCAGAAAAAAATCTCTGAAGCTACTGCTGTCTTGTGAAAAATGATAAAGTCGTTCAGATAAATAATATTTTAGTAAATTCGAGTAATAAAGAGACATTTATTATTGGCAAGAAATTTGCAAAATATAAACCTTTATACACGTACCCATTTGAATCAAGTAAATTCAATATATATATATTGGAAAATCTGAGTGTTAGCTTGGAAAAGTGGAGCCTAAAAGATATTATTTGTAAATGCATTGTACTTTCTCTTGATAATAATAACTTTATATCCTTTCCAATGACACATACCTACTTATCACACCTTACTTGTAAAGACTAACCAATAGTGTTTGGATAGTGTAATAACTTCTGAATTATACCAAACAATATTATACCTATAGGCTGTGTATTGCATAATATCCGATTAGGATAGGTACCTGAATTATTTTTTAATATACGTTTGAGTTTTGAAAAAAAATGGTTTTACTTACAAAAAAAGTTCAATTTTCCCAAACCAACGTTTTTTTAATGTAGGTGTTATCATTACATATGGATTTGCTTTTATATCGATTCACAAAAATTGTTTTGTTTTTCTGCATATATATTTAAAATATAAAATTTCTAGAGGAGATCTACAAGAGGCACCCATCAAACAAACGTCAAATCTACCTACCATATATTCCAAATACGGTATGACTGCCGTAGGTATTTATGACGTCATTATACGTAATTTTCCTCATTGTTAACGACGTCCTTTTTAAGTAATAAAATCACGTATTTTTACGTCATAGAATTACGTATTTTAACGTCATAAAAACACGTATTTTCACGGCATAAAATCACGTATTTTAACGTCATAAAATGACGTCATCTGGGCTGTGACATAATCACGTGATCCTATCGTCTTAATCACGTCATTTGGGATATGAAAATGACGTCTAATCTAAAAAAAAATGACGGAAAAAAGACGTCAAATTGACGTCAGCTTGCTGCTTGGGTAGGTACCTATTAATACTAAAAAACCAGTTGCAGCAACCTAGTTCTCACAACTAGTATTTCTCAGCATAGGCGGTTCTAGCCCATCTGGACTGGGGGGGCTGAAGCCCCTGGTCTGAGGTCGCTCGCCGCAGGCGCTGGCAGAGGTCCCGCCGGAGGCGAAAATTTTTGTGAATCAACCCGAACAAAAACACAAGTTTAACAACGTCTCCACTCCATAGGAAGCTGTGCCGAAGGATTCTAACGTTGCTACAGATTAACATCGTATCTAGATAATGTCGCTTAGCAGAGCAGCGCGTAAACGTTGGCTGCTCCTACTTATTACACACACCTATAGGCAACCCTGTCCCTAGCGGTGGGGGATAGGGTTTCCTCTATTCTATTTCCAGACGTCCCGATTTCGGATATTTATGAAATAATTAAATAAAATTTTATGAAATAATTAGATAAAGGTATTAAATCAGTGGAATTAATGAAATGATGTAAGTAGTTAATTAATCCTAACGCATCATAAATATTTTTTGTTCAGGGACTGCGAACTTTTGCCACACAGAAAAAACTGCACCACCAAAATTCTAATAAATGGTGTATTTGACTCATATTTTATCGGGAAAAAAAGATACATATTTAAATTGACTCAGCTTTATTTAAGTAAATCAATTATGCATAATTCAATCAATTTTATGATTTATTTAACTAATATATAATTAACTCAAGATTTAAAATAGTTGAACCAAATATTTTAAATCTCTATATTATCAAGTAAGTTGAATAATGGACAATTAAGTTAAATAGATATTTGCTTCAATGAAATAAATGATATTCCTAAGCCAAAACTATTATTTGCTTGTCCTAATGGCTAAAACAATCGCAAATAATACGACGATAATTTGAGACAATCAATTAATGGCTAAAATCTTACTTTAAACATTTGACCCAACACCATACGTGTTTGAGTATGTTCCAATAATCTTATTGCTAGTGATTGCCTGATTGGGAATGGGTATACCATAACCCTTCGTGTTGAATCCTATCACTATTTAGTCGTGTGGGATCCTCTCTAGAGTCCAGATAGCCGAACCCGAAATATAATTATTCCAACATCTTCGGCTGGCTAAGCTAGTTTAGTCCTATTTCCTTTATAGTTTATTTGGCAGACGCAAGTTGTTACCCGTGAGTTCTCAAGGTTCATTGAAGTGGTTGTTTGAGAACGGTCTAACTCATATTTTGAGTTCAAATTTTGAATGTAAGTATCTACATTATGGTCATTATGTAAACTACATGACTACATGTATTCATCTAATAAGACTTTATATTAGTAGGGACAGAGTATATAGGCACAAAATAAATAGTTTGTTATGGTAATATTACCTACCATGATTTTTTCATTATATTTTTTTAAATATCAGTTTCCATTATTAATTTTAATTAATTATTAAAATTAAGTAATGCATTTTCTTACAGATAAAAATGGCGATTATACATCATCCTGTCACCTCGAGGCATGCACAGCTTTCAAAATTTTCATTTTGTTCATTCAATCGTAGGTATATTTGAATCAACTAAATGTAGTTTTGATTCAATTTTGCTAATGGGTTTGGTTATATGCTTATTACATAGTAGTTCCAACGAAATGGGTCCTATATTGTGGATTTTTTCTTTTACTGCTACTTTTCAAATATTATATTGACACCATTTTTATGTTAGATACTAGAGGAGCATTTAGTTTTATTACATTTAGGTTCCTATCTACATGTTAGTTTCAGTGCGTTGTTTTTACAGTTGACTAAAACTTTTGAGTTGATCTTAATTAGGTGTGTTTTTTCTAGCTCCGTTAAGCTGGCCCCCCCCGAATTGATTTTCATTACCAAAATGCTGGCACAGGTAAAACATAGCTAGCACAACCTAGCACACCAATTTTTAACGCTAGCACACCCATAGTATAGCAAAAAAATGATTTCGAATTCGGGGGGGGGGGGGGCCAGGTTAACGCTAGCCCCCCCCAATTGGATTTACTAAGCCAAAATGCTAGCACAGGTGCAAGATACCTAGCACAACCTAGCACACCATTTTTTAAAGCTAGCACACCCATAGTTTAGCAAAAAATTGATTTCGAATTCGGGGGGGGCCAGGTTAACGCTAGCCCCCCCCGGTTGGATTTACTCAGCCAAAATGCTAGCACAGGTGCAAGATACCTAGCACAACCTAGCACACCATTTTTTAGAGCTAGCACACTCATAGTTTGGCAAAAAATTGCTTTCGAATTCGGAGGGCGTGGTTAAGGCTAGCCCCTCCCCGTTCGATTGGTCTTTCTTCGTCAAAATGCTGGCACACATTTAACAAACCGGGCACGTAAAGAGATTTGCTGTTCCTACTCTACGTAGGAATGCAAAGATTGCACTATCGGAATATTCCGGGAATAGCTTCTACATGGGTACAACTCGCCAGTATCCTTGCCTTAGACAAGGAAAGAGAGAGGACGCGTAACATCCTTTAGGGCGAGCATTATAAAACTTCTTTGTGAGTTAACTTAAAGTTAACTTCTGGAATTACATGTAATTCAAAAAGTTAACTCCAAGTTAACTGTCAAAGCAGTTTTATAATACCCGCCCTTACCTGCACTAGCAGCTGGTTGTGACCGTTTGCCACCAAATAATGGCGACAATTTTTCATGGTGTCACTATGTGAATTTTACTTCAGACTAACATTTTTGTGATATTCAGCATGGTGGATTGCTAGCATATGGCTGCAAAACCCGCAGAGAAAAAAAAATTGACGGGATTACATTTAACAGGCAAAAAACAATATGCTTTCTAGGTTATGTTATGAAAAAAGCAGACATTTTTTGGTGGCAAAGTGCTTCATTTTCACCTGCTGTGATACGAGTCCCCTCTCTTTCCTTGCCTAAGATTCTGTTGCTAACTGCTCTTCCTCATTACGAACAGGTGTTTCGTAGACTAAACTTTTCAGTCAATGTCCCGACGGTGCAATCTTTTCATTGAAGTAAATGGTCAACATTTTGAATAATTATTGTAAACCTCAGAGGAAACCATAATTTATTTATTAATAAAGCAAAATTAATAAGTAGGTAAACAGTGATTTAATTATTGCGAAGAATAAGAGTACCAAACAGTTTTTTTGCTCTGCAGCCCAAATGGATTATTTGCGGACATATGTTTATATAAACAAAAATGCTTGTTTTGATGTTCCTTACTACCCCTCAAAGTTTGTCGGTATCTTTTTGGGACACCCTGATGTATACAAAAATTTCAGGTATTCTACTTTTTCGCCTTGAATGCGGAAAAGTAATACTTTTAAGGTGCACTTTTCCGCACGCTCGTAGAAAAAAATTATAAAAACAGCTGCGATTAGGGATGCCACCTTTGAAAGTAAGTTGAACCGGAGAAAAAAAAACCATTATTGAAAGAAAGCTGAAAAAGAAAATCTGCAGATCTACAATGCAACAGATGCATTACACTTTACTATCTGTCTATATGTATGTACACAAGTCTCCCCTCCCCAGCATCACCGGATGTTGCTTGGGGAAACTTTGCTTGAGGTTGGGAGTTGAGACGGTTGGAGAAAAAGATTCAAGAATATTACACACTAAACAGAATAGCCTATCTTCATAACGACACTACGACCGCTGACGCAAACAGTTAACGACACTGTTGATGACTTCGATAACGGTGCAACACTATAGTCTTGATTCCAAAAATCGAGTCCAAAGCGGACGTGTAGTAGTGTTTAATATCCTTGAGGGAGATTATGAGGCGTTGAGGTTCGTGGGCTGTCTATTCTATCGCCAAACTGCATGTCGGAGTCGGAGAATTTCTCTATTTCTCCGAGAGAAACCGTATTTGCACAAACAGGATTGCGCTGTTGCTAAATTCTATTTTTCTTTTTTAAATGCGTTTTTTTTTGTGTTAAATGCGGTTTTACCCGGAGAAAACACCTAGTAATCCGGAGACTGAAGACCATGTAAACACCAGTAGACCTCGGGTGAAACCCGGAGAGGTGGCAACCCTAGCTGCGATTTAATGAAACAACAAACAACCAATAATAATTGGAATAATCAAATCAATCAGATTATTCATTTGATGTTTTCGCGCTCCGAATCTAGAAGCAATTTTTGGCTTCTCCACAGATCTGCAAGCTCTAAAAATTGGTGTTCTAGGTATTTTTCTATCAATGCCAGCATTTTGACGAAGAAAATCCAATCGAACAGGGAGGGGCTAGCGTTAACCACGCCCTCCGAATTCGAAAGCAATTTTTTGTCAAACTATGAGTGTGCTAGCTCTAAAAAATGGTGTTCTAGGTTGTGATAGGTACAGTGCCTCTATACAAGACAGTGGCGACAATAGCGCCTAAGCTCCGCCCACCCGCCATGTTTTGTCGAACTCATTCAATAATGTATTTGTTCTTCCTTTTCTTTCTGTTCT